CTTGTTTCAAATGAGACCTACCTCAGTTTGCAAAGATATCTCAGGGAAGGTGTCTCAGGGCCCAGGGCTCCTTGTGCAAGCAGCAAGCTCAGGAATTCCTTGACTCCCACCCAAATCTCCCCCCAGCCCCTCCTTGGCCTTTCTCTCTGCTCATTACCATCCACACCACCTCCCACCCACAGGGAAAGAGAAGGTCATCACCAAAGGGGCCCAGGGAAGGGGACCTTCTAAGGGCTTAGACCAGGGTGGAGTGAGACTGTTTACCCACACCCAAGCTTCCCTTAGCTCATCTCCACTCTCATCCCAGGGCCAGTGAAAATGCAAAATCATTCAGCTACACACAGCAGTTGTTGTTGTTGTTACGTGCCGTCGAGTCAGCACAGACTCATAGCGACCCATCCTTGGGTTTCCGAGGCAGTATCACTACGGAAGTAGGATTGCCCAACCTTCCTTCCGAGGAGTGGCTGGTGGGCTCTGGTAGCATAGTGCCTAAGGCACTTGACTGCTCACCAGAAGGCTGGCGGTTCAAACCCACCGGCCACTCCTCGGAAGGAAGGTTGGGCAATCCTACTTCCGTAGTGATACTGCCTCGGAAACCCAAGGAGGGGTCGCTATGAGTCGGGGCCGACTCGACGGCAAACAACAACAACAACAACACACAGCAGAGAATGGAGTGAAAGAAATGAATCTTAACTCTAAGTGGCTTATTGGGGAGCAGAGCATGAGGTGAGATACAAAGGGTGAGAGGGGTCGCTTTTCCTTTGGGCACTTACTTTTGAAAGGGCTGGAGGCTATGGTACCGCCTAAAGGAAAAAGGAAGACCCAGCTCTGCTGGCTAAGTGGAAGCTATGCTGCTGGGGGCCCTGGGGAATCTGCCTTGGGGGTGTCTTGGATTCTTTCTCAGGTCTCTGATGATGATGCTCACTACAGTCTTGTCACTTGTGGTCTCAAACTCCAGCGAAACTAGTGTGCCACCCCAGATGGCTTTATTGTATTTGCATGAAAATGTCTAGGAAGTAAGACCCTTTCACTCCCCCCTTATTTAGGATGTCCTAGAGCTCAGGTAGGAGCTCTGGTAGCATAGTGCCTAAGGCACTTGACTGCTAACCAGAAGGCTGGCAGTTCAAACCCACCAGCCACTCCTCGGAAGGAAGGTTGGGCATTCCTACTTCTGTAGTGGTACTGCCTCAGAAACCCAAGGAGGGGTCACTATGAGTCGGGGCCCACTCGATGGCAAATAACAACAACAACAGAGCTCAGGTGGCATAGTGCCTAAGGCATTTGACTGCTAACCAGAAGGCTAGAGGTTCAAACCCACCAGCCACTCCTTGGGAGGAAGGTTGGGCAATCTACTTCTGTAGTGATACTGACTCAGAAACCCAAGGAGGGGTCGCTATGGATAGGGTCCAACTCAAAAGCAACTAACAACAACAGTCAGTGCTCTAGTGGTGTAGTGCCTAAGGCACCTGACTGCCAAGCAGAAGGTTGGTTGGTTGTTCAAACCCACCAGCCACTCCCTGGAAGGAAGACAGGGCAATCTACTTCCGTAAAGATTTACTGCCTTGGAAACTCAAAGGGGGTCACTATGAGTCAGAATCAACTTGATGGTAGTGAGTTTGGTTTGATTTTGGAGCCAGTGCTGGGTACAGAGCAGGTGTTCAGTAAATGCTGACTAATTGCCATGCAGGGCCTTCCAGACCAGAACTTGACTCAAATCAGTGATTCCTCTCCTGCCTGCTATAACCCAGGGTTGGGGAGGCAGGAGTCGAGAGGAAGAAGCAAGTCAGAAGCTAGCCTGAGCCTCTGGCCTTGACTCTCTAGAAACCCCACAACAGGCCCTTGCGTGAGGAGCTGAGCTCTCCAGTAGTGTCTTAGACCTTGAGACTGGAAGTTTATTTTCAGATTTGAAGCTCCAAAGTGGCAGATCCCAGAAAACCTCTTCTCTGGCTCCGTGTATTTGTTCTCTAGTTAAGTGGTTGAGTGCAGCTTTTGCAGTCAGCTGGCTCATGCAGCCCCAGGGTTCCTCCTAGAGAGCTGGGGGCTTAAAGAGGAGGGGAAGAGGATGAGGAAGGAACAAAGCCCCAGCTTGGGCTGTCCACTCTAGGAAAGAGGTGGCCTGTAAGCCTTGGGGAGAAGTCAGCCCCCTTACACACTTCCCTTTCTTCAGAGATCCTGATCTTTGTGGGGCCCCCTCAACTCAGAAACATGCTTTAATAGTTGAGTATCTATGTTGTGCCAAGACATGGTCCCACTTGACTGTGAAGACAGTAGAAGCCAAAGAAAGGGCCCATGTGGGTGAGTCCACCCAAGGTTAGGGCTGATGTGGTCATCTCAGCTCCTCACCCCACCACTCCAGGCCCATATGTAGAAATAAACACAGGGCCAGAGTCACACCCAGATCTAAGCACACAAGGGAGCCTGGGAGGGGCTGCTTAGCATCTGGGTGTGGCTGGGCTGGGAGGAGGTGAAGGAATAGTCCAAGGAAAGGGTCTTGGCCAGGAATGACCCTGGGCCCTCTCCTCTCCCATCTGCCCCTCCCTGGGAGGTGCAAAGTAGGGTCTCTCCTTTCTAAAGAGATGGCAGGGCCAACTGGAACACACACACACACACCACCCACAAGACTGAAAGAGAAAACTGGGGAAAGATGTCAGCTGTCTGTCTGGGACAGCCTGAGTGCCTGTAGCCAGCATGCTGGCCCTGCTTGATTTCTGTATTCAACCCTCTCCCACGCCCATCCACTCCAGCCCAACCTAACACCACTTTCCACCTTCCCCCAACATGGGCACCTCCCCTCCGTGAGTGACTGAACCACCTGCTACCTATCCAAACTCTTCCCTGGCTCACTCTGCTGTGGGTGGCTAGCCTCCTTCCTGACCCAGCAGCCCACTTCTGCCTTAAAGTATTGTCTCTTCCCTTGGCTTCAGAAGCTCTTCACCAAGAATCTGAACACCTCATTCCCTCACCTCCTTCAGGCCTTTGCTTGAATGGCACTTTAATGAGGCCTACTCTCAGCATCCCAGTTACAACTGTGATCCATCCCCTCTACTCTGCTGTTTTTTTTTTTTTTCCCCCTATTGCACTTACCACTTTCTAGCATATTATTTATTTTAATTAGGATGTTCACTATTTATTGTCTATTTTCCTCCAATAAAAGGTAAACTTCTATTGAAGTATTGAAGTATGAGGGCAGAAATTGTTTTATTTTTGTTTGCTCACTGATGTGTTCTCAGTGCCCAGCACAGTCCCAGCTTATGGTTGGAAATATATCAGTATTTGTTGAATTAATGAATGCACTGACTACCTGCCACAGAAATGGGGGTGGGGGGGTAAAGGAGTGGAAGCTGAGGAGGAGGGGTTAAGGTCCTTCTGAGCCCTTCTTGCCGGTCTCCTCTTCCTCAGTGAGGTCTGCAGCATCACACTACAGCCTCTCAAAGCCAGCGTTCCCAGGCGCACCCTACCAAGTGCATATGGGGCTGAGGAAGTGGGAAGTTTCTAGGGCGTTGTTTCCTCCAGATCTTTATAGTTTTGATAAAAAGTGGAGACACAAAAGACACCTGGGAATGAGGGGCTAGAAGGGAGAAACTGAGTCTAGAGAAGGGGTTGGGGTACGACCCCAGGAACTCTCGAAGTTTTCAAAAGAAATTTTACGCCTCAAATAAGGGCCTCTCTGTCCCCAGGGACTATACTTATCTGTCTGGGAAGTGAGGTGCGGGAAGTCACTTCTGACAGACATCTCTCCTTTCCCAACTTACTACGCACCCCCGCCCCCGCCTCGGTGTGCGGGAGAGGGCTTGAGGGAGCAGCGTAGAGGAGGAAGGAAGGGTGGAAAGGCGGGGAGAAATGGCTCCGGGGTTTCCACTCTCTCAGCAGGACCCCTACCCTGGCCTCCGGTTCGGGGAAAGCCGCCCAGCTGTTTCTGATTCTTTCAAACTCGCAGCCCCGCCCAAAGGGTGGAGGACAGACAAACGGTGAGAGCTGGGAGAGGCTGAACTGTACCGAACCCCGGTGGCAAGGGGTGGCGAGGCCGCGTCCCCAACCGCAGGTGCTACCCCCTCCTCCAGCGATTTCCGGCCCCCCGGGCCTGAGGAAGCTTCGGAGCAGGGAAGGCGGGAGGGAGCCAAGTTTAAAAGTTGTTGCTGGGAGTGGGGAGGCAGCAGGTCGGAGAAACTAGGGGCAAGGAGCCCTAGGTGAGAGAAGCCCCTACCTGAAGCCGACTGTCCACAGCGCCCCTGCAGGCAGCGTTGAAAAGGGAGTTCACACTCTCCCGCGGCTCCCGGCGGCGGAGACAAAACTCTACCCATTTCACAGAAGCGCAAGAAGGGAAAGAGAGGACTCGGGAACTGAGTGCGTCCTCCGTACTCAACTCCAGTGGCCCTGTAGGTTGGAGTAGGGAGAAGCGTCTGCAGTTCCCTCCTGCTCCGCGAGCCTGGCCATCACCCACCGAAATCGGGGTTGATGGCTGAATGAAGGGCTCTAGGACCCGGTGGCGCGACGTCGACGGGAACTGGGCGCTCCGGGCGCTGAAGGGCACTGTAACGCCTGTCGCTTCGCGCCCGGGCAGGTGAGGGTCCAGGGCCCGGCCGCACGGGCGCGACGAGGGGCGGAGGCGGCTGCCACACCTAGGGCGCCGCGGAGCGCCCCGGCCCGCGCGGGCGGAGCCGCCGTGAGGGCCGCGCGTGTCCTGGGCCTCGGCCCCGCCCCGCGCCGTCCAATGAGAGCCCGCGGCCGGAGAGGGCTGTCTGCACACCCGGTCCGCTGCCCCACTCCGCGCCTCAGACCCCCTCATTACGAATCCTGCGCCGGGGGCAGCGCGCCCAGGTCCCCAGGCTCGGCGCGGTGTCGTCGGCTTCAAGACACTGGTCCTTGCGCCCCGACTCTTGGACTACAAGTCCTCCTGGTCCCCAGCTGCTGGCATACCTCATGGCCTCCCAGGGGGGTGAGGTTGGGACATCCTGAATACTCCAGTCCACGCCCCCCCGGGCCGCGCGGCAGGAGAGTGTTTGGAGAGCTATGCTGAGGCCGGGTGGTGCGGAGGAAGCCGCGCAGCTCCCCCTTCGGCGCGCCCGCGCCCCTGTCCCCTTGCCCCCCGACGGCTACCGGGCTCCAGCCCGCCTAGGTCTTGCCTGCCTTGTGCTGCTGCTACTGCTGACGCTGCCGGCTCCCGTGGACACGTCCTGGTGGTGAGTGGGGTTCTCGGGGCCGGGCGGGTGAGGCCCTGGATCGTAGAGGCCGGGAGGCGCCTGGAGGGAATATTCAGCTCCCAGGACGGGTTGTTCTGAGCACCAAGTTGCCATTTAGCCAGAGTTAGAAACGACCTGGGCAGCACCGTCACTGAAGTTGCAGAGTGTCGTGCGAAGCGCAAGACCCAATTTACTTTGAAGAATTTCCTAGGACACTCTGAATCTACCTCCCGGTGGGAAGGACGCTGGACATTTGAAGCAAGGACGAGGACACCCCGTGGCCACGGCTCCTCCGGCTCCCATATGCTGTGCACCCTTTCTAATCTTAGGTCCCTTAGGACAGAAGCTACCTCTCGAGATTCTTTCCAGGGTGGGTTCATGGAACCTGTGGTAGCACCCTTCCCAGGCCTGCAGTGGTCGTTCCACTGGGCCCTCTGATCGCCTAGGGTCGCCCATGGAAGGTGGAGAAAGGGGCCAGCTTCCCAACCCGATAACGCAGGAAGGCATTGATGAGGCAGCAGCTCCCAGCGCGAGGTTTAGAAACTGAGTTGAGGCAAAAACTACCCCATTAACTCCCACAATTAAAACAAACAAAACACTTGGGTTTGCATAATATACACATTTGTCTCCAGCTTCTGCTTGATGTCTCCCTCCTTCCTTCTTCCCCAGAGAACTCCATCTCCCATCTCTCTCCTGCCAGAGTGTGAGGCTTCTGGACTCCCAGAGCTCTAAGAGACCCTCTCCTCAAATTTCTTCCAGGCCTTAGATTCCAGCATTGCATAAGAAGGCATATGAGGCAAAAGGAATTAAAAATCCACTGAATGTCTGTTCTTTTCTGAACACCGTGGTTCCCCCACCCCACTTCCTTTTCCCTTTCCCCTGTCCTGGATGGCATTCATGTCTTCTCTCAGGAGAAACAGCTGCTCTCCCTCCTACCCTACCTTACCTGGAAGGGGCAGTGGTGGTGGGGGTGAGGGTGGGGAGAACTGGACTGAGTAGACTCAGTCTCCTCAGCTTTCTTCTTCACCGCCCCCCCCCCCCCAAACTGGCCTTCGGGACTGGACTGTTGCCCCTCTCTACCCATGCAGTGCCCCCTTCCTTTCCCTACTCTGTTCTTCCTCCTTCTGTGCACTATCCCGCACCCCACCCCCACCCCATAGTAAGGTCTCTTCTCCCCCTTGCACCCTGTGGCTTTTCTCCTCTTGACTTGAAATCTTGGCTGGAAGGGTAAGGGGTAGCTGGCTGAGGGGCCAGTAAGCTTGGACTGCAGATTCCTATCATTTCAAGATGCGTCTTGCTCAGACCCAACCCCCACCCCGTTTTCCTGTTTCAGAAAAATCTCTCTTTTGGATCTTTTTTATCTCTGCAATGTTGGGGAAGACAAGGAGGGGGGTTCTGGAAGGGGAGCGGGGAGGCCTATATCTTACATCTGGCTTGAAACATTCCTTTAGAAAGGGAAAGGAAAGAAGGGGAACAAGGAGAAAAGGCTTTCCAACTTCAGAGTGAGATCAAAACTACCCTTTTACCTTCAAGGGCTTGGTTTGGCTGATGACTTGCATCTTCAAGATCCCTGGCCCTGATGGCAGTTTGCTTCTGGGGACTCCCGACTGCTTCTTACCAGCTTGGGAGGCAGTCTTAGTGGTCAGTTTAGGTGAGGAAGTGTCACTCTGGTAATTTCAGCATCCTGGTTCCTAAGGACTCAACTGGTGTTCTTCCTAGTACCTCTTTCCTCCCCTCAGCTACTCCCTCTCCCTTTTCCTTTCTCCCCTCACTATGCTATCCCCACGTGGTTCATATTAAGGGTTTTGGGAAAGGAAAAAAATGTCCTGGGTGGAAGGGATGGAGAAAGAGTAGGTGACACACGGAGGGACTCAGCAGTCCCTATGGATGGAGGGAGGCAGTGACAGTGCAGGGATGAGGAACAGGTGCAGAGGTTATTTCAATCTCCTTGCTCTATACCGGTCATAGTGGCAGGTCCTAGTTGCCTGGCTTAGTGGTCATCACTTCTTGGACAGGCTGGAAAGCTGCCTTCTAAAGTCAGGTCAGGCCTCCAAGGTGATTATCTTTCTTTACCTTGAAAAAAACCAAGCAAGATTGATATTCTGTACAACCCTTGGAAGAGATGCCTGTTGGTTGTGTGTGTGTGTCCGTATTAAACTCTGGAGCAGGTAAACAGTCTGATCTTCACAGTCCAAAATTCTGCTCCTTACCCTCCAGCCACTCCCTCCCTGCCTCCACTCTCACTGGAGGAGAAAACAGATGGTTTCTTCCTAGTCTGTGATAAACAACACAAGAAAAAGGGGGTTCCTGCCATATACACAGGGGGTTAGATGTTCGGAGTCACAAAAGCAGTACTATATTCATAGGCTTACACAGGGAGAGGGACAGAGTGGTATAATAATGTTAGCGTTGCTGTTACCAACAACAGTTGCCATTTAATGAGCTCTTCCATGAGTTGGAATCGACTCAATGGCAAATGGTTTGCAATTTGGGTTTTACTAAGCACCAGGCATTATGGCTAAGCACCTATGGGCATCAGCTGCTTCAATCACCAAAATAATCCAGTGAAGCAGATATTTTATTATCCCCATTTCACAAATGAAGAAAGTGAGGAATGGGAGAAGAGTGGTAAGTAATTTGTTCAAAGTCACACTGATTTTGGAGCCAATCAGATTGGTCCTACCTACTCCTTGTTAAACCTTCTGCCTCTCTCTTGCCCCTGGAATAAAAATGGCCTTGAACTTTGAAGTCAGGTGGCCTTGGTTCATCCTGATTCTCTTCCAGATATCCCTGATGGACAAGCTGGATATCTTTCAGTTGTTGTTGTTAGATGCCTTTGAGTTAGTTCAGACTCATAGTGACCCCACGTACAACAGAACACTGCCTGGTCCTGCACCATCCTCACAGTCGTTGCTATCTTTGAGCCCATGGTTGCAGCCACTGTATCAGTCTGTCTCCTTGAGGATATTCTTCTTTTTGGCTGACCCTCTTTGATGTCCTTCTCCAGGGACTGGTCCCTTCTGATAATATGTCCAAAGTTACACCATCCTAACTTCTAAGGAACATTCTGGTTGTACTTCTTCCTAGACAGATTTGTTTGTTCTTCTGGCAGTCCGTGGTATATTCAGTATTTTTCACTAATACCGTAATTCAAAGGCATCACTTCTTCTTCAGTCTTCTTTATTCATCATCCAGCTTTCACATGCATATTGTTGTTGTTGTTGTTATTTGCCGTCGAGTTGGCCCTGACTCATAGCGACCCCTCCCTCCTTGGGTTTCCGAGGCAATATCACTATGGAAGTAGGAATGCCCAGCCTTCCTTCTGAGGAGTGGCTGGTGGGTTTGAACTGCCAGCGTTCTGGTTAGCTTGCATATTGTTGTTGTTGTTGTTGTTGTTATGTGCCGTCGAGTCAGCCCTGACTCATAGCGACCCCTCCTTGGGTTTCCGAGGCAGTATCACTACGGAAGTAGGATTGCCCAACCTTCCTTCCGGGGAGTGGCTGGTGGGTTTGAACCGCAAGCCTTCTGGTTAGCAATCAAGTGCCTTAGCCACTATGCTACCAGAGCTCCCAGCTTGCATATTAGGCAATTGAAAATACCATGCATTGGGTCACGCATACCTTAGTGACATCTTTGCTTTTTAACACTTTAAAGGAGACCTCTGCAGCAGAGCTCCCCAATATGACATTTGATTTCTTGACTGCTGCTTACATGGGCATTGATTATGGATCCAAGTAAAATGAAATCCTTGGCAACTTCAGTATTTTCTCCATTTATCATGAGTAAATCAGTTAGTTTCCCTGAACCTTAGCTTCTTCACCTGTAAAATGGAGATCTCTCTTTCTCATAGGATTTTTGTGCAGAAAAACTTGTGAACTGTAAAGTACTATACAAATGCTGCTGTCGTATGAAAAAATTCAGGAAGGATAATAGGTATTATCCCTGTGTTCAAAGCCCTATGCAGGCCCGGCTGAACCATGTACACTAGGAGCTGTTTTTAAACAGAAAAGAGAAAGACAGAGAGAGGGAGAGAGAGAGAGAGAGAAAGAGAGAGAAGAGGATCCCTGGCATCATCAAAAGGACACAAACATAAGGCTTCAAACCTCCGGTTCATTCTGGTTCAACCCACTGCTATGGATTTGCATTTCCACCCCAGATATACTGAATCAGAATCTACATTTTAACAAGATCATGCATAGATAAGAATAGCCTAGGAATCTTGTTAAAATGTAGATTCTGATTCAGTATATCTGGGGTGGAAATGCAAATCCACAGCAGGGTGTTAAACCAGAATGAACCGGAGGGTTCAAAGCCCTGCATAAAACATCTGCAAATAGGCTGGCGGTGTCAACAGGAGGAAAGCTGTAACTGAAATTGTTTATGGCTGGCTGTGGGAAGAAAGGAGTTGTGGGTGAATCAGTGTTTATTCAACAAAGAGGTATTACATACTTACTATGTTCTATACATTTTTTTTTTATTATTATTATTAGGATTTGGGTGAAGATTTAGAGAGTAAATTCACTTTTCATACAGCAGTTCACATATACTTTGTCTCATGTCATTGACCAAAATTTACAATGCAGCAGCTCCCCTCCCACTTCCTCCCCATAGTTACCTCCTCCCAGTGTCCATCCCTTCATACTCTTCTGCACCCTGAGCTATCTCCCTGTACATAAGCAGCCCTTCCTTCTCCCATGATTGTTCTCTCCAGGGCGTGTGTCTACTTGAGGTAAATGTTTAACTCACATGCCTGTACTTTGTTTGGCTAGAAACCACAGTTGTGGGTTCAATTCCAGACCTGAAGGGCAGCTAGGGGCCATAGTCTCAGTGGTTACACCAGGCTCTATTGGACCAGCAAACCTGGTCCCCACCTTCTTTTTTTTTTTTTTGCCTCCAAATGATTTTGAGTTTTGTACCACATTGTTCTCCCTCTTTATGCAGGATCTCCTACATCCCTTCCAAGTGGATGGCAGTGGTAGCTGGGCACCATCTAGTTCTTCTGGTCTCATAGTTGTATAGGTTGCAGATCGGATGGTGTACCAGTCTCTAGGACTGGTTGTTTCCATTAATTTTGGTTTTCTTCTTTCTTCTTGACGAGGAGAGACCCGTTGTTGCATCTAGATGGCAGCTTCCTAGCTTTTAAGGTCCCAGTCGCTACTCGCCAAAGTAGTAGGTGGAACAATGTTTTGTATAGTATGTTATGCCAATTGAGCTTGATGTCCCCTGCGACTATAGTCCCAAGCCCGCAGGATCAACTACTCGGTCCCTCTGGGTAGCTGGCTGTGACCAAGTAATGACCATAACCTTGCCCCTTGTCAGCTCTACTATACACCTGGGAATTCTGATCATTCACATGAACTTATAGGCCCATTGTCTGCCAACCCTATATATGATCTTGGATACACTCTCCATTTAGACATACCTAATTGTTTAGCTTGTTCACCTATCCATCCGTCCCTATACCCATGTTTGCTTTCACTGACAACTCAGTACTGTATATGCAAAGGGGTTGTTCTATACATGTTTTAGGTGCTAGGGATATTATGGAGAATATAATCCCTTCCTTAGTACAACTGAATCACCTGGGGAATCTTGCTAAAATGCAGATTCTGACTCAGTAGGCCTAGGGTGGGGAGTAATAAAACTATCTACTTCACTGGATTACATTTCTCATAAATTCCCAGGTAAGGCTGCTGTTCTGGGGACCACATTTGAGTAGCAAGGGGCTTAGCAAGCAGGGTATGAGTCACTTTGTCAAAGGAAGGGATTTGTCAAAAGCAGGTGAACAGGGTATTCTGGGGCAGGAAGCTGGGAAGGAAGTGAAGACCTTTTGGACAGGCAAAACACAGCTAGAGAGTCAGGGACATCTGGTCCCCTCCACCAGACCAAGCTGAAGGATGACTTAAACATCTTTATTCCCCTTACAGCCAAGCTGAGTACATGGCACATAGTAGGCATTTTGCAGGCATGTGCTGAATTGAGGGGATGGGCTCCACCTCAAGCCCAACTCTTTTGGAGGTCTCTGCTCTGACTACAAGGAGCTGACTGGTCAGCAGACAAGGGCCATACTCTGCAGTTTTGAGGCAACTACTTAGCAGGGTAAGGGTGGTAGTAGAGGAACTTAACTACCTTTCTATTTTACATACTGAATAGCTCTTCCCATGCTTGGTGAGGATATAACAAGAAGGACCAATGTGGGCTGCAGCAGAATGGACTGAAGTCAGACCACAAGAAGGACTTTTTGCCAGAGTTTGGCCTGCTCTACTCCAGACTGTCTCTTGAGGGTTGGATTATTGGTCTCCCATTCCCATCCACCACCACCCCCAGCCCCAGTAAAAACAACCAGCCAACCAAAAAAACCCACCCATTGCCTTAGACAGTACTCCAGGGTTGAACTGGGGAAACAGAACAGTGGTGAGACAGGGACGAGCTCCAACTCCAACGGTCTTGATTCTCCAAACAAAGCACCGCGGCAGTGGGTGTAACTCCAGGCTGTGCGTCAGGCAGCCCTTTCCGGTCCGGCCCAGCCTGGGTGTTTATTTTGTTTGTTCCTGGAAGCTGTTGCCCTGATGGACAGTGGTGGGACGCTGATTCCATGGGATTTGTTAGCCTAGGGCCAGCCCTCTCATCCCTCTCCCGGGACAGATGGGCCCCATCAGCCCTGCTAAGTTCCCAAAGAGGCAAGCATCAGCCCTCCTTTTGTTTGTTTGAGTTGGTGTCACCAGTGGTGATCCAGTCTGTGGGTGAGGGCTGGCTGTGGGAATGCAGGGGGAGCACAGAGCCCAGGGCAGTGTAGCTATTCCTCTCCTTCTACTGACCACCCTCCCTTCTCCTTATTGACTTCTAGGCCCATTTTGGGGCTGTGCCCAAACCACAGGCTCATTCACAGCTCAGATCAAATCTTCTGTCTGCAGCAGCAAATGCTCTCCTCAGCCCCCACCTGTTCACAAAAGGGAAGGAGGGCATCCCTGTAATGTACTTTGGGCAAGAGTATAGAAAATTCCCACCAAGTCAAGGAAAGTGCTCTAGGGCTGGGAAGCTAGACTGGGAGTGAGAGGTGGCGCTGGGCTGTTAAGCTGGAGGGAAGTAGGTGAATGGGTCAAATCTTGTTTGGTGGCCTCTTGGGGAGAAAGGGTGATGCACTACTGAGTCCTCCCTGGAATTTTCTTCCTCAGGCTTGTGGTGGACAGTTCAGAGTGAAGAGAAAATGTTCTCTTGAGAAATTTGTGACTGAATTTAGAAACCTACCTGCCCTTTTGTAGCCCATCCCAATTTATACTCATATTCATACTCAAACTCCAGAGACTAGAGTTTGGAGACAGTTACCTTGTTGCTTTACCCTGGTCTTTGGCTTGCCACTGCAAACAGCCCTCTGCCTATGCCAGGGCCATATGGGACACCATACCCTATAGATTGAGGAGGATGATTTTAATACACCCATTCATTTCTTAAGAAAGGCCCCAGGGCCTGGAAAGAAAAGGTATAGGGAGGAGAGTAGAGGCTTGGGTCTTCTTACTCAGACTTTAGGATTGCAACTGAGGGTTTTTAGCTACATGGGTCAGACTAATGTTGTAAACATTTCTCAAAATTGCCCACTAGGTCTCTTTCCACCACCCCCTCCTTTTGGTGCCCCCCCCCCCACCCTAAACCATGTCTTCATGGACTGACCACGCAGGATGTACCATCTCCAGGGCTTGGTGTTAAGAGTAGTGTCTTAGACCCTCATTTTCTTACTTATTTTTTCATGAAGTTCTTAATGTTTATTAAATAAACAGGCAATGGGTTTGTGTGACATGCCCACAGTGGATTTGATACATTGCCTAGCCTGTGTTCTGGGAGTGTGTGTCACTTTGGCCTTTAGCCGGGGACCTGGTGATGGTGGGAGACCACTCAATTATAACCTCTGCAACTGTGTAACTCTGTTTCTCCAGAGCTTGTGGGGAATGGTTATACCCATCACCCTCAGGGACTTGGGTTGAGAGAAGGGAAAGGAATCTCTCCAGGGTCTGGAGGTCCAGCCACCCTTCTCCTCACTCCCCAAGCTAATGCAGAAAGGCAGGCCAGGATATGACAGGGCCATTTTGTCCTTGCAGGTACATTGGGGCATTAGGAGCCCGTGTGATCTGTGACAATATCCCTGGTCTGGTGAGCCGGCAGCGGCAGCTGTGCCAGCGTTACCCAGACATCATGCGCTCGGTGGGCGAGGGTGCCCGAGAATGGATCCGAGAGTGTCAGCACCAGTTCCGCCATCACCGCTGGAACTGCACCACGCTGGACCGGGATCACACAGTCTTTGGACGTGTCATGCTCAGAAGTAGGGGCCTCTTCTACCCTGCCCCAACTCCTTTCCTTTTTATGCTTGAGGTGGTGAGTGGGAAGGGTAGGCATAACCCCCCCCCCACACACACACACACACACACTACTTCATAGAGAAACAATTGTAGGTAGAGGCCAGGATGCAGAGGAGAACAGACTCTCAGTACCTTAGTATAGGCAGGGCCCTCTAAATCCCACTGTTCTGGGATGATGTAACAAAGGCAAAAAGCATTTCCTAGTAATTCTATCTTTCTCTCTCCTCCCCGCCACCCTCCTCCCCACCCCCAGCCTGGGCCTTCCATGTACTGTGAGCCTGGGGACTGGGAATGGATGCTCTTCTCTTACCACTACCATCACTACCCACAACCCAACACTCCCAACACTATAGTAATGGGAATAAAGGATAAACAGAAAGGTGATATGTAAATATTTGGAGAGTCAGTGGTCAGACTCCAGCTCAGCAAAAAGGCTAAGCTGAGCTAGATGGTAAACTAGGAAGAGTGTGAGCTGGGAATCTAGAGGTGTCAGGGGCACAGGGTGATGATTCATCAGTTCCCAAGAGCAGGGAAGGAAGGGAGGAGGAAGGAGAAAGTACCTGTCTCTCCAAACACGCTGACCCCTGGGTTGGGGTCTCTACCATGAGGGAACTGTCCAGCAGAGTGGGCCTGAAAAAGCCTGGAATGTGGGCAGGCTTAGCTAAGCTAGGGTTGGCACTCAGCAGGAGGGGATGATTCACTGTGAAGCTTTCAATGGATGGACCCTGGAGTTTGGAAGGAAGCAAGATTACAGGTCAGCCCAAGAGGTCAAATGTACAAAGAAATGGAAGGATAGCATTGACGGCTGAGACGAAGAGGTCAGATATTCTGGGGAATGCTTGGAAGGGAAGGGCTCTTTCAGTAAAGGAGGTGTTAGGGGTGGCAAGAGGTCGTCTGAGAGTCAGAGGTTGTGTGTGCTGAAGAAGGGGAGAGGCATTGGTCTCCTTCCTGAAACACATCTCTCTTTCTATCTAGGCAGCCGGGAGGCAGCATTTGTATATGCTATCTCATCAGCAGGGGTGGTCCATGCTATCACTCGTGCCTGTAGCCAGGGTGAACTGAGCGTATGCAGCTGTGACCCCTATACTCGTGGCCGACACCGTGACCAACGCGGGGACTTTGACTGGGGTGGCTGCAGTGACAACATCCACTATGGTGTTCGCTTTGCCAAGGCCTTTGTAGATGCCAAGGAGAAGAGGCTTAAGGATGCCCGGGCCCTGATGAACTTACATAACAACCGCTGTGGTCGCACGGTCAGTACTGATGTCTGTGTTATGTGCACTCATATTTACTAGAGGTGACCAGTATGTGTGACCATGGACTAAATATGAAGGTGGAAGAGCTGAAGGCTTCTGGATCACTTCCAAAAGCCCCAACATTCTCAGATAGGAGCAGTAAATGCCTAGGTTCAACCAGGTGCACAATCTTTGTATAGACAAAAAGTAGTAAAAGGTACAGAAAAAAAGGAAAGGAATTTCCTCCACAGAGACTGAGGAGGATAAGAGTTTGTTCTAGTCACTTCACTGGGTATGTGAAAACTTCCTATGTGCCCAGGACTGTGCTGGAAAATAGCATGCTACAAAAGTAGAAGGCATGGCACCTAATATTCTACAACATGGACAACTAGAGGATGTATAAACATACTGTAATCCTGAACAGAATCCTGTGGCCCTAAAGTTCAAACAGGGTATCATGAAAAGGAAAGCACTGTTGTCCAGGAAGGTTTCTGGAAGAAGAGGTTCTTGAACTCGATCAGGAATAATGGGTGGGATCTGACAGTAGAGGTAACAGCCAACAACAGTCAGCCAGTGCCGTGTCTGGAGCACACATGCTTTAAGTTCTCAGGATGACTAAAAAGTGCCCTGACTAGCTGGCTGCCTCTCTCTTGCCTCCTCCCCACCCTCCAGGCTGTGCGGCGGTTTCTGAAGCTGGAGTGTAAGTGCCATGGGGTGAGTGGCTCCTGTACTCTGCGCACCTGCTGGCGTGCCCTCTCAGACTTCCGCCGCACAGGTGATTACCTGAGGCGGCGCTATGATGGGGCTGTTCAGGTGACAGCCACCCAGGATGGCGCCAACTTCACAGCAGCCCGTCAAGGCTATCGTCGTGCCACCCGGACTGACCTTGTTTACTTTGACAACTCCCCAGACTACTGTGTCTTGGACAAGGCTGCAGGTAAGTAAGAAAAGCAGGCAGGGACAGTGAACCCCAGTCCTTAGTGCAAGCACCTCTGTTTAATCATGGTCTATTCAGTCTTAGGAGTTAGGAATGGGGATGGTGCAGGAAAAATCAGTCTCTTCTCCCCATAAAAAAACTGGTGAGGGGATTGTTGATTTACCCTTCAGTCTGCTAGGCCCAATACTACCCAATGAGAGAGGAGAGGCCACTCAGCTCCTTCAGACTTACATCCATGTGTCAATCCTTTATATTCCCAGCATCTGGGATACAGTAGGCACTATTCAGTGAATGTAGCCCTAAACCTTTGGCTCTTTACATCTGGCTAAAAAAAATGAGAGGGAACAGGTAGACAAATGTAATTACAAAAAAAGAGATCACTGGAGACCAGAGAAAGCAAGAAAAGTTTATTTGAAAATGTGGCATGCAAGTTGCTCCTTGAAGTGTGGGGATTATCTGGATAGCTGGAAAGCAGAACAGGCAGATACTCTCTGCACATGAGCAGAGCGGTAGCTGGGAAAGCACATGACCTATTGCAGGGAGAGAGAGCAGCTTAATCTGACTGAGTGAAACTTTCACTTTCACACCTAAAAATAGGTTGGGAACAGACCATGAATGGCCTTGAAAAGGCTTTATCCAGTGGGTTGCCCTTGAAAATTCTGAAATAGGGCTTGGGAAAGAAAGGAAAAAGAGACCCCCCACCATCACCAAAAGCTAATAACCAATGACAGAAAGTAGCAAATTGTTGTTTTTCAATGTGCCTGGACATTTATGGTGGAATTCTTGAGGATGCTAGAAGATGGTATCCCTCAAGAGAGTGGATGTCACCATTCTGACTCTTGTTTCAGGTTCAGATGGGTTAAACTAGGAACACCACATGATAAAAAAGAATTGCCCTTTCCCTGGTTACTGTCATAGGGCTCTGGGCTCTTTTCTGCAGATTCAGCAGTCAGGGGTTGATGAGGTAGAGCCAAAAGCCCCAGCTGTCTTCAGTACTATTTGTTTTTACCTATCACTGTCATTCCTGGAGAGTAAAGTGGCTTGGCACAAAACTGGGCACAGATACAGGTGGGGGCTCTACATAATAACAAAGTAGTTCATGTACTTTGCAGGGTACTTGGAGATTAAAGATTGGGGGAGCCCTTCTGATTCTACCAGTGATTTTTTGCCAAGTGGTATAATTCACAGGCTATCACAGGCTACCCTCTGGATGCCTGGAAGTAATTCTGTAACATCTGAGGTGTTGGGCTATGCTAAAACCCAAACCTAACCCATTGCCATTAAGTTGATTCCAACTCACAGCAATCCTACAGGACACAGTAGAAATGCCCCATAGGGTTTCCAAGGCTGTAATCTTTATAGAAACAGACCTCATCTTTCTCCCACTGAGCAGCTGGTGGGTTCGATCTGTTGACCATTCAGTTGGCAGTTGAGAGCTTAACACTGAGCCACCAGGGCACCTTTAGCCTGTGCTACCATACCTAAAATGCACCTTTGTGGAAGGAGCTTTGGAGTTAAGAGGGAAGATGAATCATATGTGTTGGTTTTTCTTAGAGGCATAAAATTAAGCTTCATAAAAGCCAAAGGAGAGCCTGAAATTCAAAGGGTGTAAGTCACCTCATGAGGGAGAACAGAGCCAGGAATTCCCTCCAAAGCAATACTGTCCAACTGAACGTTCCATAATGATAGAAATGTTGTATATTTATGCTATGCAATACAGTAGCCTCTAGCTACATGTGATTATTGATTACTTGAAATTTGGCTCATGCAACTGAGGAACTAAATTTTAAATTATAATTAATTTTAAATGGCTCACATATAGCTAGTTGCTATCATACTGGACAGCACAACACTCCAAAGTGTAGAAGGGTGGTACACAGGACTGACTTAAAACCCAGTCCTTGGAGTTAGAAGAATAACCTATATAGTAGCCCTAGTCAGCCCACAAGGAGCCCTTGTGGAGCAATGGTTAATCACTTGGCTGCTAACTGAAAGGCTGGCAGTTCAAACTCACCCAGCAGTTTTGCAGAAAGACCTGGCAATCTGCTTTTATAAAGATTACAGCCAAGAAAAACCCAATAGGGGGTGTGTGTGTATGTATTTATTTATATTAGTACATATATATACACACACACACACACACATATGTATGTGTGTGTGTGTTTGTAAGTTATATCTATGTTCCACTATACTAATGTGCATTATAAAAGACACATACAAAATAAGTATTTTAAGTTGATGGGATAAAAAAACAATTATAGAAGTTCTAGCATTTTCTTTCCATATCTCAGTGTTATGTGGAGACTACTGGTGTGAAAATCAGTTAATCTAATCCCCTTCTTGAACCCTAGGCTAATCAGTTTCCCATCTCTAAACAAACATAAACCAAACACACTGCCATTGAGTCGGACCGACTCATAGCAACCCCTCCTTGGGTTTCCAAGGTGGTATCACTACAGAAGTAGATTGCTCCATCTTCCTTCTGAGGAGTGACTGGTGGGTCTGAACCACCAGCCTTCTGGTTAGCAGTCAAATGCCTTAGGCATTATGCCACCAGAGCTCCCTATCTCTAGATCCTTATTAATAAAGAAAAGGGTTGGACTCAATGCTCTCTAGTTTCACCCATCCAAAATTCTATGATGTTATGATCTGTTGGCAGCATCCCTCTTGCTAAAACCAGTTAGAATGAAGTCCTGAATATCCCCTATGTAGAGGCATAACATCCCTGCCCTACAAGAGTTACCACTGTAAAGGGGTAAGAGCAAAGGAATACCTTTTCCTTCCTTAGGGAAATGCCTCTAGTCAGTCATGTCAATCAGTTCATCTCCTCAGTATAACAGAGACTACTGTTGTTGTTGTTGTTAGGTGCTGTTGAGTCAGCTCCAACTCATAGTGACCTTATGCACAACAGAACAAAACACTGCCCGATCCTGTGCCAGCCTCACGATCTTTGTGATATCCGAGCCCATCATTGCAGCCACTGTGTTTATCTTGTTGAGGGGCTTCCCCTCTTTTGTTGACCCTCCACTTTACCAAGCATGATATTCTTCTCCAGAGAATGGTCCCTTCTGACAACATGACCAAAGTAGGTGAGATGAAGTCTGGCCATTCTTGCTTCCAAGGAGCATTCCAGCTGCACTTCTTCCAGGGCAGATTTGTTAGTTCTTTTAGCAGTCCATGGTACTTTCAGCATGCTTCGCCAGCACCACAACTCAAAATCATCAACTCTTTTTTGGTCTTCTTTATTCATTGCCCAGCTTTCACATGCATAAGAAGTGATTGAAAATACCATGGCTTGGGTTAGGTGCACCTTAGTCAGAGACTATAGATAGAGCAAATTACCGAGCTAGGTGCTATTATTATACGCATCTTCAGTTGGAAAAACTAAGGCATAGAGAGATCAATTAACTTGCCAAATCACACAACTAATAAGGGGCACAACTGGGGTTTGAACCCAGACAATCGGATATCTTGGTCCATGCTTTTAATGGCTATAATGCTTTTCCTTTTATAAACTAAGGACTGAAATACTAACAAATAAGAGCAGGATTAGAGTGTGGCAAGACTTCTTGGAAGATATATATTATAGGCTAAGGTGTCTTATTTTGTTTTTTAACTTTTTGTTATGTTGTTGTTGTTATGTGCCGTCAAGTCGACCCAACTCATAGCGACCCCTCCTCGGGTTTCCGAGGCAGTATCACTACGGAAGTGGATTGCCCAACCTTCCTTCTGAGGAGTGGCTGGTGGGTTTGAACCACCAACCTTCTGGTTAGCAGTCAAGTGCCTTAGGCACTATGCTACCAGAGCTCCAACTTTCTGTTATGGAAACATATAAAAGTAGAGGAACCACACTTTAATAATTTTGAACATTTCAAGCTGGGCTTCTAACTAGTTCAGTCATGGCCAATGAAGCAAAATCAGAACAGACCCAAATATTTTAAATTTGGGTGAAATGGAACAATAACTGGAACAGGGAAAATTATGGGTAGAAGCTCTGGAATGGGAGGCTTGGAAGCGGCATAGTGAGCCCTTTCAGGAGCCTGATGAGGGAAATTGGATTATTGCCAGGACTGTGGAAAGTAACATACATTCAAAGTAGCATGGCTGGCCACCACCTTTGAGTGGGGCACCAGTTTCTGACTCTGTTGATCAGGAGATTTGGTTGCTATGAAACATGCCACCCGTCTTTTCTATGAGGGATATTGAGTTTCTAGCAGGGCATCAACCTATAATTTTTCTTTCTAGTAACCATTCTTGTTTACATTTTCAAATTCAGGTCTGTTACGATTTCATTTCATCAGCCATGACTGAACCGGGAAGAACCTGTTCGAAGCCCTGACTTCAAGGCTAGGGTTTGAAAAGGATATAGAGATAGGTATTAGCAGAGAGGGAACTGCAGGTGAGTGAAGGTAAGGGCTTTTAAGTAGATTTGATGGTGTGAAGAAACAAGCCTGGTGCAAATGGCATCGAGAATATGGTCATCCTGGCTCATGGGCATATGTCCCAGAAAAGGGATTCTCTATTGCTTTCTTATGAGAATGTGAGAAAAGAAGCCCAAATAAGCTGAAATAAGAGGTAACTCGATTCTTACTCCCTCTTTTTCCCAACCCAGGTTCCCTAGGCACTGCAGGCCGTGTCTGTAGCAAGACATCTAAAGGAACAGACGGTTGTGAAATCATGTGCTGTGGCCGAGGGTATGACACAACTCGAGTCACCCGTGTCACCCAGTGTGAGTGCAAATTCCACTGGTGCTGTGCGGTGCGGTGCAAGGAGTGCAGGAACACTGTGGATGTCCATACTTGCAAGGCCCCCAAGAAGGCAGAGTGGCTGGACCAGACCTGAATACATGGATACCTCACTAGTCCCTCCACTTCAAGCCTCCCAAATCAAAGCACAAGATCCTTGCATGCACACCTTCCTCCACCCTCAACCCTGGGCTGCTACAGCTTCTATTTAAGGACTTGGGGAGTGGTCCAGAGGGACCCTGGTGCCCTGCTGGCTCCTTAGCCCTGGGAAGGAGTTGATAGAGGATGTAAGGAATTGAGTGGCTCCGATTCCTCCTCTAGGGGTTATAAGGGAGAGTGGATGAGGCAGGGAGTCTTCAGAGTGAGATGAGTTGCACTAAAGCACCTGGTTGAGACTCATTTTCCCTTTTCCTTGCCTTGGCTTCCTGATACTTGTGTGTGTAAGAGGAAGGATACTTGGACAGAACTTCTTTTTTATTCTTACCTGAGGGCAGATGGGACAGAGATAAAACTGTATGTCCCTCCCTTTGAGTCAGTCTGAGTAGACTGCTTCTTACCCTGAAAGAAACTCTTAGGCTACAACATTCTTCCATTATCAAGAGCCTGGGATTGCTAGACAGTTAGCCATAGTGGACAAGGTCCTGCACATGATTGTATGTTTATAAACTGCTGTGTTTTGTAGGGAAAAAAATTATATAACTACACAAAAACACATTCTTTCCCAATCTCTATCCCTCTTTCAAACTGTATCAGACAGCACTGCCTCCTTTGCTCACTTACTGCCTTTTAAAACATGAGGTGGCATGCAGTGGTTCTTAAGCCTAACAGATTATTAGAATACCCTGGGATACTCCTGGAAGGTAGTAATTTAGTAAGTCTGGCTAGACCTTGGGGTTTGTTATTTATTTTTTACTTTCCATGAGTTATTCTGGTGACCAGCCAGGTTTGGAAAACACTGTGTAAGAGATATGAGACTTATGAAGGGTGGGAGAGGATGAGCAGGTCTGATCTCAAGGTCCACATGAGGCACTAGGGAGGGTAGGGATCTTGGGCTTTGGTAATCCTGGCCTTTGATGCCAGGAGCAGGAGCCAGTGATGGAGGGGTGGAGAGCTAGGGCTTGGGGCCCAAATGATGAACAGCTTAGAAGGCAGCCTTCCCCCATTTATTCAACAAATATTTAGTGACTCTTTCAAGTCTTCACATTTCTTAATGTGCACTCCACATTAGGCTCAAGTGATGGGGGGGTGGGGGAGCTCCTTCTACTACCCACTGCTTATCTAGGTTTGCAGTAGTAGAAATGCCAGAGGTAGCCAGTTTAGTAAGCTAGAAGATAGTACATAGAGTCCCCAAAATCTGGATGTTTTACTTTTATGTGTGTTGGACAGTGGTTATCTCTTGCTCATTGATATTAAAAAGAAGCAGAATAGTATAGAAATTTGCAGTTATGACAGACCTGGGTTAAAATTATAGTCATTCTATTCAGTTTTTAACAAGATACCTAAATTCTGAGCCTTAATTTTCTCATCTGTAAAATGAGGGAAAGAACCTATTTTAGCTATTCAGTTTTAATTATGCACTAAATGCCATCCAACAGATACTCTCACCAAAGCTCCTGACTGGTCTAGCCCATCCTAACCTATCCAGAAACCTTCCATTTAGGACTATAAAGTATTGAAAGCAGGCTATAGATTAGGGCCTACACAAGGAATCCTGTGTATAGGCCCCACTTTCCTTTCCCAATTTCTTCTCCAGCCTCCCTTGGGGTCCTCCTCACATGTTTATGGAGCAGCTTCACTCTGCACAGGCAGCAGGAGGATGGGGGAGCTATAGTTTGGGGCCATGGGAGATTTATTTGGATGATAGGACTAATATTTGTGTAACCTGCTGAGACCTGTGTGGGGGAGTTTAAGGTGGTTTTCCTTTTGGTGAGGGGGTTTGCTCCAGTTTCATATCCATTAACACAAAACATGAGCTAGTCAGGGCCCTTGTGGTCTGCGGTGAGGGGATTCCTGTGGAGAAATGGGACTGAGTGAGTCAGGCCAGGGGAATGTCTTCCTTGCAAAGTAGTCAACTGGATAACTGATGAGCCAATGGTAGAATTAGGGAGGGGAAAATGGGAGGGGGAAGAGAAGAGCTTCTAACATCTAAAACTGGGATTAAGAGGAAGAGAGCTTTAGAGTAGTGGGAAATGAGGTTCTCGGTCAGTCTGAACTCAAAATAGGGTTGAATGAATTTACAAAAGGGTGTTACTTCATATGCCAAGCCACTGGGAAGAACCGTAGATCCCAGCCAGCTCTTGCTCTTACAGAAATAGCCGGCTTACCACATAAATGATGGTATAAGCTTTGCAAGGGAAGTCAACTAAATCTACCTGTGCTCTATTATCTACTCTTTGGTATTTGGGTCTCACTCTGTGGAAGGAAGTGGGCCTCTTCTGGCATATCATGCTGCTCTGCTTTTTCCTGGGCTCCAAATCTAGCTTACGAAGATCCAAGTTCGGCAGTTTCCTATACATTGTTAAGAAAAGCAAAAGCTGTCCAAAAAAAAACCAAACTCATTGCCGTTGAGTCAGATCCAACTCATAGTGACCCCTCCTTGGGTTTTTGAGGCGGTATCTCTATGGAAGTAGATTGCCAAACCTTCCTTCTGAGGAGTGGCTGCTGGGTTTGAACTGCCAGCCTTCTGGTTAATGGTCCAATGCCTTAGGCACTACGCCACCAGATCTCCTAAATGCTGTCCAGAAGGTGAGAAATTTGAAAAATGAGTTGGATAGCAAGAGAAAGGAAGTCCATTTGAGCCCCTTACAGAGGCTCTGTGGCCCAGAAAAGGAATGATGGCTAAGCAATTAATTTATCTTGGTCCTTTGCATTCCGATTGGCTTTAGACAACTGGCATCCACTCTGTGCTATGCAAACAGAAACTAATTTATTTAGAACAAGCAACAAAATGAGAACTTTATTTGGTGCAGTCCAGGCTCTATTTAGTTCTGCTGCTATTCTCATCTCTTCCTTTCCCACACCTCCTCTATTCAACAGAGGTCTTCCCTTCAGATCACCTGTCTCTTAGCCTTTCCCTTCTCTTCTATTCCTTCCTATTGTTCCTCATTTCTTTTAACGTTTTACAATATTCGGATATAATGCCTTGCAGTGTGTGTTGTTGGATACTAGGTTAATTTAAAAGACATGATCTCTACCCTCAAGGATCTTAGAGTCTTTTAGAAAAGGCACATAATATGAAGTACCTCAGTTGCACAGCCTGAAGCCAGTTTCTCTTAAGTAAAAGTAAGGATGCCAGCCTAAATCTAGCCCTGCAGATAAGAGCCAACCTCTATCATTGCCAGTAATAATAGTATTAATCCACATTTGTCTGTAGAGTGATGCTGGGAAAATGAAATCAGGGACTTTAGATCAATTAAAGGAATCAAACACTGCCTGGCCCTAAGGGTCTATTTGCAAAAAGTCTTGTAGAGGTGACTCATGGGCACTCCCTGCCTCATTTCTATCCCTCCCTGCTCCAGTGAGGAATTTCTTCCTTCTCTAACCTCCCTTAGAAAGAACATCACTAAGACCTTTGCCAAGTTCTCAGGCCTATTCGAGACATGAATTTCTACACGGCTTCACAGAGATAACCAGGATTTTTCTTCCTGATTCTCAATAAAAAAAACCTGAGGTTTTTATTTAAATGCCCTCAGTGGTCACAGAGCAAAAGCCCAACCTAGTTGGGGGAAAGGGAGGGCGCCAGGGAGTGTGTGTTTCTCATCCCTGGGAGGCCATCAGCCTAGCTCCTTAGCCAAATTACAGCACCAGAGAACAATGCTATGCATTCCTAGGCAGGTCGGTAGGACCCTGGACTCCTGGGCCTTGTGGAGAGAGGTGCCAGACACAGAGCTCTCCGTAAGCAATCCTGCAGAGCCGCCCCCTGGGTGCAGAAATGAAATACGGGAGAGCTTCACATTACACAGAGACCTGTAGCTCACACCTGGTTATTGATGGCCTTGGCAGAGGCCTCTGCCCCCACCCTACACATGGGAACTGCCTGCTGCTACAGGGGTGGGGAGGGGCTGGTGGGCATCTTTGAAGCAATGTTGAAAAACAAAGGGATGCTTCCTTTTCACACCAGCCTATGCACAGTCATGGGGATACACACACACATAGGAGGTGCACATATATGAACACAGACATAGCTTCTCTCTGGCTGCAGAGGAGTTCTAGCCATCTTTCCTCTCCCCAACAATTAAAAAAAAAAAAAAAAAAGGAACTAGATTTCAATAAATGCCTTGTAAAATCATACCACCAACAGGGGCCCTGCTATAACCAAGGAATGTTACAATGTTATATTATCAACATGCAGACAAATGTTTGGTTTGGGAAGGGGTACCCCCTGAGGAGTGGAGGGGCAAAGATGAAGGAAAGGCATGCAGAGAACTGGATAATTACCACCCAAGTACGGTGGCTGAGACCTTACAACTTTGCATGGCTGGTTTCTGCTGCGAGATAGTGAGGTGTGCGCCCCTTGGGGTATGATGATGGAGCAGTCTCCCGTGACTGGCACAGGTAAAATTACTGAACCTGCCCCTCTACATGACTGTTTTGTTGTTGTTGTTAACCCTTACTAGGTTAGGAAGCAAGAACTTTGGGTTCCAGGGATGAGCACAAAAAAGAGACACAGCAAGAGAGCAAGCAGGTTAAAAACGTCACAGTTGCCACACTGAACTGAGCTTTTCCAGAAGCTGTTATTCTCTTTGAGTGGTCAGCAGGTTGCTGGCAATAGCCAGTGGGGTATCAGTAATATCCCTAAAGGTCAAAGGACAGAACAGAGAGAGAGAGAGTTCATAAGCTCATTTTCCCACTTCTCATTCAGGGCTTAAATTATCTCTGAGCATCTTTGCAACTTTATTCCTCACTTAAGAGAAAGCAAGACAAGCACCCTTCTCTTAGTCCCCTAACTCTGAACTATCTTGGCTTAAATATTGCCTTTGTTCACTTCTACTTTTATCTATGGATGGGGCATCGTTGTTGTTATGTGCCGTCGAGTCAGACCTGACTCATTGTGACCCCTCCTTGGGTTTCCGAGGCGATATCACTACAGAAGTAGATTGCCCAACCTTCCTTCCGAGGAGTGGCTAGTGGGTTTGAACCGCCAGCCCTCTGGTTAGCAGTCAAATGCCTGAGGCACTATGCTACCAGAGCTTTTTGGATGGGGCATCAGGACATGGGTATTCTCTCTCCTTGACCAAAGTTGCTGAAATCTTGTAACTTTATGTCAGTACCACCAGCCCCTGTAAGCAGGTCTGACCATACAGAGAAAGGCTAGGTTGAGGGAAGGAAAAAGGAAGACAGTTTAATCCACAGCTCAACAGCTTCCAAGGTGGGGCTTCCCCAAGAATAACAATGAAGTTCATGAAAAGCTTTTTGGTTTACAAAATGACTTAGCATATAAGCAGTCCTCACAACAACCCTGTGAGGTTGGGATTCTCATTTTCAGGTACCCTTCACAGAGGTTCAGTGATTTGTCCAAGGTCACATGGACAGTGAGAGGCTCAGTCAGAATTCAAACCCAGGTCTTCTGACTTTAAATCCTGTGTACTCTCCTCGAACACCCAGAATGCCCAGTGTTAGGGGTAGCAGAACCCCAATACCTTCACAACAAAAATTGATACAAAATACTCAAGCCCTGTAGGAGCTCTAGCACTGCCAGGAGAGAGTATTTGAATACAATTTACAAACTGGACCTTTCCTGACCCCATCAACAAATCCCTTTTATGCCATTTCTGCTACCATCACCACCACCACCACCAAATGATCACTATGCAGAGAGCATTCAACATTTAATCAACTCTGGATCCTAGTTCTTTTTATTCTTTTTTCCTTCCTA